TTTAAAAAATGTTAATATAGATTGATTTGGTTGGTCAAGTTAAAAATTAAAATAGTTTAAAAAGTCAACTACATTGAATATTCCATACTAAGAAAACATAGAATGGTTTCTATTAAAACAATATTAAAATACTCAATGTTTAAAATTTCGATCAAGATCTTTATAAAATATTTGAAATTAAGAAAATCTTGCCAATTAAGCTAAATTTTAGGCATTGTATCTTACAAATAAAGTTAAATATCAAACGTAATAATTATCTTTCCTTTAATATTGAAAACCAATTTTTTTTTTTAGCAACTGAAAAATGAACGATGGAGATTAAATCTCTAAACCCGATTAGCATATCCGTTTAGTTAGTTAGATCCGCGTGTTAACCCAGTTAGAAATGATAATTATTTCATTTTGAAACTATAGTGTAAATTCATTGTGTACTTCAGCTTTAATAGTATAGATGATTAACCATATAATCAACATACGACAACAATGATTTAAGACAACTATAATCAAGTAACTAACGGTATAAGTAGGATCGGTTTGGGTATCAAGGTTAGGAAATAATATTACTTGGATTTAAGTTAATTATCCAGATCTGGTTTCTGATTCTGATATTTACGGTGATAAGATTTCTTTTATAACAAAGTTACAATAAATTTATGGGGGAATTTCAAAAATACCCTTTTCATATATCTCTTTCTAAAAATACCCCATTTTCAAACTTTATCAAAAAACCCACTAAAAATGTTAAAATTTATCCAAATATGTGTGTAAACTTATAAATATATACACAAATTACCTTTATATGTGTCTAAAACTTTATACACCTTTCATAAATAGCGTAAAAATAAATTATAAAAACCTTATAAAAACCTTATAAAAACTGTATAAACCCTTTTAAAAACCTTTTAAAAACCTTATAAAACTTATAAAAACGATTTAAAACTATTTAAAACATTTTAAAATATTTGTATCGAATCTCTCAGTAGTAGTTATTATATAGAAGTACCTTATAAACTATATAAAACTTTATAATTTTTTATATTTAAAAGGGGTATTTTTGAAAATGGATAGATAAAAGGGGTATTTTTAAAAAGAGGTACACCAAAAGGGCTATTTCTCAAAAATTCTCTAAATTTAATGTCTTTTGATGAAACTAGGTAATGTCCCGCGCATATGCGCGGGTTGTTGTATATTAAATTAATTAATTTTAATTTATTTACTACTTATAAAAAATAGAACAAATAAATTTCAATGCTTATGACATTTTTACACTTTATTTATTTAAATCATACAATATAAACATACATCTATATCTCTTGAATTTATTCGTTGATTAATTGTTCAATTTTGATAGTAATTTTCTTCAGTACTTTTGAGTATTTTTTTTGATTAAAACAAATAATGTTGTTAATGATAAAAATAGAAATGATTTTGAGAGAATTTATCCCTTCGTCAAACTTTATTATACATATGTATTATACATTTAACAGTATAAGAAAACAATGAAGAAATTAAAAAGTACATAAAACAAAGAAGAAATAGAATTGAAAACAAAATTTTAAACCAAATATATAATCAAGCTCTTACAATGATATCTTAATTGAGCTTTCAACCCATGAAAGAACATTAAAAAATAAAACAAAGAAAATATTGAGGGTGTCAAATATGGTAGAGGAGGATGTAAGAATGGGTATTTATAGGATAAAATATGATGTAATTTATATTTCTAAAATAATTAAATTAGAGGAGTTATAATTATAATTTACAGTGTGTTAATTGAAATTGAATGGAGGAAACAAATAGTCAATTCACAAATTATATAATTTCAGTTACAATTTAGTAGTAAAGTGTGGATTTCAAGTATGAATTAAAGTATATGATTAAATGTGTTAGATATTTGGTTTAATTAGAAATAAATATATGATTTTTTTTTTTTGTTGTCAAAAAAAAAAAATATAAATAAATATTATAATTAAAAAATAAATGCTAAATGGACCAATAAGGAGAGGGTGAAACCTTTAAAATTCCCAAAAAATAATTTTATTTTTAAACTCTTTTTATATTCCTCTTAATTTAAATTATATCTCTAGGTTTTTTTTTTTTTTGGTCAAAAGTTATATCTCTAGGTTTAGTTATATTTTTTCATCCATTTAGTATATATAATAGATAAAAAACCGAATATCAAATTGTTTTTAGATAGGAAATCAAGTATAAAATTCAAATTTAACAAAAATTATAATGTTCTTTAAACTATTAAATGTTGAATCACAAACTAAATATAAGGATCATTATTACATACTTTTGAAATTAAAATAAATATACATGAATATGTGAGAAAGAAACAAACATCCAAAGTAAAATATCTAAGATGGTTTCTTTAGCTTGATTTTCTTATTGTGCAATGTTCAGAATTCAATATTTTTTATTTCCATCAATAAAATACATATAAACAAAAAATAAATAAAATTGAAAACAAAAGTTTAAACCAAATATTTAATCAAACTCTTACAATGACATCTTAATTGATTTTTCACCCCATGCAAGAACTTTTTTTTTTAAAACAAAGAAAATAATGAAGATATAAGATATGGTAGAGGAGGATGTGAGAATGGCTATTTATAGGATATGAAATGATGTAAGTTACATTTTTAAATTAATTAAAATAGAGGAGTCATAATTATAATTTATAGTGTGTTTAATTGAAATTCAATAAAAAAAAAACCAATAGTCTTTGAAATTTTATAATTTTCAGTTATAGTTTAGTAGTAAAGTGTGGATTTAAAGTATGAATTAATGTATATGATTAAATATGTTTTTTGGTAAATAAATATTAAATTTTAAAAAAATATATATATCAAATGGAGCAATAAAGAGAGAGTGAAGCCTTACTTTTATATATATACTAGTCGGTTGCCCGCGCTACGCGCGGGAGTTTATTATGTTGTTTATAAGTAATTGGTTCGTATTTTATTTTCTACTTATTTTTTTCACTATAGCATACTTTATTTTTTAAAACTTAAATTATACTAGTGATGGACCCGCACATACGTGCGAGGTTATTTTTACAAAATTACGATTTTCTAAGTAGATGCAATTTTGGTAAAATTTTGTTATATGAGTTTATTTGATAAACTATATATAGACATACAATTGTAAAATCTATATATTATATTACATAATACAATTTTAAAATTATTTAAATAAAAATGATAAGTTATATTACGTGTTTATTTTTTAAACTAATCAAAACATTTCTAACTGTTTGCTTAGATATGTTAAATCAGATTTGAGTTTGTTTTTAGTTTGAATTGTTTTATGTGTAGTTTAGAATGAAAAACCTGTCATGTCTCTTTCCGTCTCGTCCTGACCCGTCACGTCCCACCCCGCCCTTTCCCGTCCCGTCTTCTATCTGTCATAAAATTTATGTCCCATAATCGTTTATTTTTAAAACATAATCATTTGCCAATGTTTATTATAAAAAACTTGGTAAAAGATTTAGACTGGATACTCGTATTCCTCGTTTAAATATTTATTTTTATCAAACTAATAAAAATCTAATTATCAATCTAAGTCACATGCTCCCACCATTTTCATACACAAGGCACTGTCTCTAATCCTAGCATATACAATCCTTGTTCGATTTTAAATTTTATTGATCTTTCAGTTTCATCTTTATTTCTCGTTACTTTGTTCAATTCAAAGATTCATGTTTTAGCCTTTCTGTTTTTTAAAGATTTAGGTATTTCTATTTTCTTTTAATACATGGATTTATTGTAGTTTTGTTATCCGAATTATACGTTATCTTCTTGTACCCGTCATTTCATGTCTAAATATTTGAAATAAATAGGAAAGTGGAAATTAAATTTAGCAATTTAAATTACATGTCCCCGTATCGTACTCGTAGTTTTATACTTGAAAGTTGAAAGTGAATTTAACTTTATGACCGTGTCTCATAACAAATATGTCTAATCATATTTTGTTTTTTTTACGAGAAATAATTCAGATAATGTTTGTTTTCGAATTATATGTTCGCGTCTCGTATCCATTCCTATAAGTTTATATTTTCTTAAAATAAATAAAACCAATTACATGTAACTAAATATAATTTTAATATATGTAAAATTTCATATAATCGTCCAAAAGTAGAGATTTATACGTCCCAAAATTGAATTTTGTTCAATATTTTGAGATTTTGAGAATTAAATATAACTACCAATTTTTTTTATTTCAACCGGTTATCCAAAAATTATATATTATATTTTTCAAGGATAGTTTAAAATTGTACGTATATGTGAGATAATGTTTGTAGATATTTATTTATTATATCATTTATATCATACCAATTTGACATTTTATTTGTTTTCAATTAGATTAAATCATAAAAATATAATCAATTTATTATTTAAAAATCGGTAATAAGTCGTTAAAATCATTTATCCAAAGAACTGTTATGAATGATTTAGTGGATGCCCATTATAGGCCCATTAGTTTATTCACCATATTTGTATCCCTATATATACCCTCTGGTTATCAATAGAATACACATAGATTTTACCCCTTCAATCTCTTTCTTAACACGTTATCAGCACGCTCTAACCCTAGCCGTCTAAAAAAAAAAAAAAACAAAAAAAAACAAAAAAAACCCTAGCCTCCGTTTTGTTGCGCCGTTTCCGACGTTCTTCATCACCAACATCACCAACTTCTACTTTTCAATTTCCTCCATCGGTAAACACAACAAAATCTATTTAATGTTTATTTAAATCATAGGTTCATCTCATATCATCGTTTGTGTGATCTATTATAATTATAAATAGTTATGTTGGTATTTGCTCGTTTATGGTTTTTGGTCAACTATCACTGCTCGATTATGGTCTTTGCTCGGTTATAAGTAGTAATAATCAGTGCTTTGTTATAATATTGTTCATAATAAGTCATTGATGCTTTGTTATAATAAAACGTTTAATATTTTAATAGATCTATAAGTTGGTGTTGTCTAAAACGTTTAGTATTCTAATAGATCTATAAGTCTATGTTTTGTTATAATATTACTTTTAATAGCTCTATAAGTTGGTGTTGTCTAATACGTTGAATATAATTTTATCCTGATATGCTTGGGTTTATATTATTTTGTCTTTGAAGCCTCGCACTATTTAATTCAATTATTGTAAGACTAAATTATTAAAACGTTTTTGGTATTGTTTCTTAAATAGAATAAGTAAAATTGTTTTGTTGAGAATTTGATATATTTTAGTACCAACATGTTTCATGCAATCGTATCGTGAAGTATAATAATGAGTCCTTTATTTTTATTTATAAATAGCAAAATACTAGAATGCATTTGTGCACATACAATCATATGTTAATAACACTCGTTATATATTTTTGAATTGATTTTTAATTGGTGTTATTTATGTGTAGTTACCATGTTGAAACTCTCAAGCCTTGATTTTGCTGCCCTTAATCTCTCTGGAGCTAACTATTTGGCTTGGGCACTAGATGCCAAGTTTTGGTTGAAATCCAAAGGGCTAGGTGATACGATCACCCAAGGAAACAATAGAAGTGAGCAACACAAGGCACAAGCAATGACATTGCTTCGCCACCACCTCCACGAGAGTCTTAAGAATGAGTATTTGACCGTGGAAGATCCAGTCGTTCTTTGGAGCGATCTGAAAGAAAGGTATGAACACCAGAAAACGGTGATTCTACCAAGAGCCCGGTATGATTGGGTGCAGTTAAGGCTTCAAGACTATAAGTCTGTAAGTGAGTACAACTCCGCCTTGCATCTAATAGCCTCTAAATTGGCACTATGTGGTGAAAAGGTCACGGAAGAGGATAAGTTAGAGAAGACTTTCTCTACCTTCCATGCCAATAATGTGTTATTACAAACACAATACCGTGAGAAAGGGTTTACGAGGTATTCCCAATTAATTTCATGCCTTCTTGTGGCTGAAGAGCAAAACCAGTTGCTGCTGAAAAATCACGGTTTGCGTCCAACCGGATCTGCCCCGCTCCCCGAAGCGAACACGGCATCATTCGGTAGGAAAGAGCATAACAGTGCCAATAACTATGGTCGTGGACGTGGATATCAACGTGGTCGCGGTCGCGGCCGTGGTCGTCGACACGAGTATGGTCGAGGCCGAGGAGTATCTTTTAAGAACTCTTCTAAGAAGTGGACTGGTAACAAACAAGAGAAATCTCCAAGTGTTTGTCATCGATGTGGAGGAGATGACCATTGGGCTAAGAGATGCCGGACACCAAAACACCTTGTTGATCTTTATCAACAATCCCTAAAGCAAAAGGGCAAGAAGGTGGAAGCAAACTTGGTGTTTGAAGATGGCGAAGAGGATTTTGGTCATGATGGTGTTACTCACATGGAAACTTCTGACTTCCTTGAGGAGTAGAAGTGATTTTTAGTTTCTCATGGATTTAAGTTATAAGTTATGTTTCCTTTTCTGGTTTTTGGATTTTATTTTATTCTAAAGTTGTTGAGTTTTAGACATTTTTTTTTTATGGAAACAAGTTTGATTATTTGGTTTAATAGATTATTGGTTTAAGTTGGTTCATTGAGGTACCCATGACTTCGTATGAATTTCTCATGCATGCATGCTTAAGTATGTTTGATCTATGGTTTACGTTTGGTATAATTGTTGGTTGGAGTCATGCTTCGTAATGCCTCTTTAAATTTTAATAATCATTTCTTATTTATTTTATGTAGCATGTAATATATTATTCACTTAAATAAAAAATAGAAATAAATAAATAAATAATTTTCATGTAAATTATAATTTCTGTTTGCTCTATCGCCTAATTATAAACTATAGTCAATCATGTCAAATTCATTTGTGGTAAATTGTTATGTGACACCTTATTTATATATATGCGTTTTTAATAAGAAATATATGCAAGCATTTACTTGATTTTGTTGTGATAGTCGTATTATTTTGCCTCGATCT